ACCAACCAAAAATTATGCAGATTATCATCATCACCGATATGAGGTACACGAAAAACTGAATTAGATAAGCGCAGTAAACTAAGCTTTGAATCATTAAGTATAAAACTTTTATTGTGTTCAGTGTCTTGTTAAAGAATTTCTTAGTTTTATGCTGTTTTTACAAAAAAATTTTCTATTAAAAATTGTAAAAGTAAAATTTTTCATTTTCAGGTCTGGTACAATAACGATATGTCTGCAGGAAGTGAATACCATTTATGCCTGTCTCCAGAAGATGATGCCTGCAGTGATTCTAATCCTGTAGACTATTCAATTGATGACCACCAGCACTATTTCAATGTTAAAGTATCAGAATATGGAAAAGCCGGATGTACGCCAGAAATTCCTTAGAGCGAACTAAGCGTAGCTTCATCAAATTCTTTAATCGAAAAGTGCTCAGCTTGAAAGCTGCAAAAAGTACCGCAAGAATTAAAAGTAGTATTTATTCGCTTCTTTTGACTGTTTTTCTTCTAAAAAGGAAAAGATTTGTGTTTTCTGATGTCATCAGAAAAAAGTGGTTGCAGTAATACTGTAAAGTACGGGTTTGTACAGTATTCGCAATAAAAGCAATTGGCAGTTGCTTTAATTTATGATACAACAGCGTAGAATGTAGACAGTCGTCTCTTTTATTTGACACTGGGATTTTTTTTTGCTTTTGATAGTTCAAAAGTTACTTCTGAAAAAATCTCCAAATTAAAAAAACCTACTAACATTGAAAGAGCACAAACTGCACCAAGTTGTTAACATACTTTGTAAACATTTTAAAATTCAGAGCAATAAAGAAACTGCTGAGACCGAATCAAAAAGTAGTGAACAGAAGTGAAAAAAAAGCAAAAATACTATTTATTGAAAAAAAGTTTTTTGTGGAATGCGAAATGGTACTTGCTAGTACTGTTCTATTCGCTGTTATTTATGATGCCGTTTATCATAACAGACGCAAATTTAATAGGTAACGTAATAAGTTGGGTTTCGAGAAATATGTCAAGTAAAATACGGTTTCTGTCGCAATCGACATTTCGATAATTTAGTTTGAAAGGTTGTAATTATTGCAAGCAGCGAGTAAAAAGCCAAGAAAAGTTTCACACTATTTTTTTGAAAATTTTCGCTGGAAGATTTGTAACATTTAAAAGATATTGTTTTTTTGGTCACAGATTACTGCTCATAATTCTTAGATTTGCTATTTTCTGTAGTTTAAAAACCACTGACCAGTTTTATCAAAGACACTGTCAAATTAACAAGTGATTTTCCAATACCTGTGGTCTATTTGATTCACTTGAAATCTTTTATTCGCAGTTTTTCCCTTGCTCGCCAAAAATCGTACAGCAACTTTTTTTGCGAAATCATGATGCTTTTTTCAGACGAGGAATCACAGTTTTCTCAAAACGCGTACATTTAGATTTTGAGTTGAACGAAATAGCAGTAAATCTATTCAGGTTAAAATAAATTCTTAACCATGCTGATAATTTCTCAATACCTTCTTCACTTTTTCTTTAATAATTTCCGGAATTTCAATTTTTTTCATTTTTTTGCAAATAATCTTGCAAAAGTATTTCAAGGTTAATTGTACGTCAATTATCAGAAACCGATTTATTGTTAAACAGCTAATGAACGATAACGCCAAATTGTTACAGAATCTTCAGTGGTCATTGATCACGTGCATCTAAGATATCATTGTAAAACTGACATTTGGTGATGGAAGCAAAAAAAGAAAAAAAAACATATACAAAAAATCCTAAACAAAATTCTTTTTTAATCTCTCAAAGATTCGAATTACTTTTGAAAAAAATGCAATCAAAAACATTCTGAAATATAAATATTTTTTTTCGCTTTTCCAGATTTATTTGTCTTGGTTGGTTAATTTTGTTGCCTATTTGCATTATTTTTAATGTCAGTAGGAAAATATAAAAACAAAAGAAAAGCATACCTTTTAATTATTCTTCCCTAGCTTTTGACAAAATGTGAGCATTTATCGACACCAGTAACTTTTCCTTCGTTCTTATAAGTTGAGAATAAAACGCTGTCATTTACAAGAATTAGTTTTAATGTAAAACCGTTCCAAAAAAATTCACTAGTTTACGTTATTTACTAGAAAAAGCCTAACTGATGAAACAGTTTTTAGATAGACACCCAGAATTTTTTTAGCCTGGTTTCTTCGCCACTTTGATAATTTTAGCCGACTAACTTCATGTGTCTGGACAATTTCGTAAATTTTTTTGGAAAAGCTAACTGTTTTTTTTCGGTGCTTCTCTATCACCTTCTGGCGACGATAATGCACTCGATATAAAAGCGCGGTAGTCAAGGCCTTAATTTGCAGAGTTTGATCTGTCTGCTTTGACTCACAGATCAAGCTACCTTAGTCTTTCTTTATGGTGGAATTTGTTGCACTGGTGCAACAGAAATAGCAAAATCTTAAAATTATGTCGTAATGACAACAGCGCTTTTTGGTTGTTCCCAAAAAAACTTCTCTTCAGCTGGCCCAGTAGCATCTGAGTTGTGATCGAGAGTTAGTTCTGAAATGCACTTTTGAAGAGGAAATTACTGAAATTTACAACTGCTCAGTCCAGCTCAAAAAAAGGTTGACAAAATTAAGTTTATTTTGAAAAGTAAATAGAAAATCTGAAAAATCTAAAAATCTAATGATAAATTTAAACGGAAATAAAATCTTAATCTTAAAGTATAAGACGTCTGGTAATTAAAACGAAAAAAAGAGCAAAAATCTTAAAATTGCATTAATGTTTGCTCAGCTGTGAAAGTTTTGTCTTTCATTTATTGGAGAATACGTCAAAAAGCAATTTATTGGGATTCAACATATTAATGACACCATCCAAAGATAACTGCCGCTAATTTATGACCATTTATGGAAGAGAATTTGTTACAGTCAAGTTTAAAAGAACCTCTAGAGTCTTTTGTAGCGAAACAGAAGACAACAGAAATCACAAAATTGCTTTTTTTTCATTTCATCCAAAGATTACAACCTATATAACAAAGTAAACAAAGTATTGTTTTTGCCAAAAACCGTATTTTATTTCAATTATTCCTAGTAATTTAGTTCACTACGTAAGCTCTTAAACCACAAGTGCCACTCCCTACAACCGAGTCCAGTAGCGACGAAAGGGTATTGACGGCGTTAGCACACGATATCGCTACAGCTTCACGTTGTCCCTTTTTTCAAGCTTGAAAACCTGCATTTGCAGCAGTTTGAGGAATGCATCCCTATAATCAGATAATAATTGACTGAAGAAATGACTGTTTAAGTTTTTGCACCTGAACCACTACACCCTATGCTTGCCCTAAAAGATCAGGAATGTTTTTGAGACCGGAAAAAATTGTCACTTTTGAAAAAGCAAGTGATAGAATCGTCGACAGTCCATTCGCCAAAAAACCAGCTATTTTATCAATTGACCTTTTGCACCACCTTGAATTTCGCCAACTACTTTCATAGCTGTGCTAGTTTCTCCTAAAGAGAAAAGTAGAGCAGGCAGCGCGAGCCGAGAAAAGAAGAAATTTCAAGGAAATACTTTTATCTTCCTTACTGCATGCAAACCGCGTTTTTCGAGCCTAATTTTTAGGCGTAAAAAACAGAACTTTGGGAAAAGACCGAATTGTTTACAAAATACCTCAAAAAACGATTTTGTTCTTTTGAGCAATACGTCCGACAAACCAAATGTAATTTCTTTTATTTCATCTTTCATTAGTTTTATGCAATTCTCCTTGACGCAATCGTGCTTCGTCTTCACAGCCTCGGGAGAAATTTCTCCAATAGACCGCTCTTTTATAAATTGCAATAAAGTTTTCAATAAAGATTTGCTAAGAGAAATCTTGAGAAGATTACGATTCAAAACTGCCAACTGCTCTGCAAGATGCCACTTCAAGCCGATGAGACAGTTCAACTCAATCGTTTAAACGTTTTTAAAAATCGTAATTTGTTTAGACTTTTCTTTTTTGTTGACCTCTAAAATTTGTTCATTATTCGTGTGAATAACGACGATAACGTTTCTACGAAGAAACAAATAGAAAAGTTGTTATTAAAAGCAAATTCTAAATTGTGATAACAAGACGGTGTGAAAAGCTTGACTAATTATAAGTACGAATTTCAACACCGCTAATGTCTGGAGGTTTACGCAATTGTCACCCTTAAACAACCGATAATATTTTTTGACAACAAATACTCTCAATTATACTCCTTCTTTAACATAAATGTACTTTTACCAAAACCAATACATCTACAATAAATGGTCATTCTAGCGTATAAAGACTCCGAGTGTTGACTAAGAAGTGCTCTTGCAGTTAATGACAGATTTTACTATACTACTCAAAATGCTGTGAGTTAGTTTCACATAAGATTTTTTTATGTAGGAACCATCTAAGCAAGGAAATATTGGTTCGTTTAGTTATAGCTCTGAAATGACGCTCATTTATGGGGTAGGAATTCTCAGGTCGAAAAGTTGGCACAGTTGGTCTCTCTAAAGTTTTTTAAAAAAGCTTTTGAACAAAAAATCTAAGCCGACATATATAAAAAGGTCACCTTCCCCATTTCAAATAAATGAGAACCCTGATATTTCCGTAATATTTCCACAACCTTGCCCATTTTCTCGAGACCTTGTTTCAAGTCTCCTGGTTGTTTAAACTTGTATAATTCCTAAAATAAATTTTTAGCATACTAAATCACGTAAAAATTTTTTTTTACCGTGAGAAATTAAGTTTTGACAAAAGAGGGTTATTAAAAATAGGTAACGCAGCAGTTTTTGAAAAATCAAGAAAATCTTAGATTTATTTTGGCATACCAACTGTAATTAGTTTCTTTACTAAAAGCTATACGTTCCTCGTCGTATTTAAAATTTTGCGTGGCTTCTGGCAGTTGCCTTTCGCTCAAAATATTAGAGTAAATTGGTTTTAAACTTTTTTAGAAAACATTTTCAAACGACGTATCCTTGAACCTAGTTTACGAATGAGTTTTTCTGATTATTCGCATAAACCATTTAGCCTCACTGGTGCAAAAAATTAACTGCTACCACGTTGCTTATCTTGAAAAAACTCATCAGTTAGAACAATAAAAAAACATATTTGAACTATAAATCTCTTATGCAAACAATTCTGAGTAATAGTAAAATTACACATAAGAAGATGCACTATGTTTAAAGTGGCTGACAGCAATTGGTTTCCCAACAGTCTCAGATTTTTAATATACTAAGTCCACTCCACTGCTGGTTTCATCGATTCATCAAAAAAACAAAACTAATTAAAAGAACCTCAGTGTGGATTTTCATAGTTTGGTAAGATATACTGCATTCCTCCATAAACTAGTCACTTTTTGGCTCTTCAGAATTAAATACAGTAGCCGATCTAAACCTTTCCAGTGCAATTCGCTGAGCTTTTTCATGCGAATTTGCAAACTCTTTTTCAATTACCTCAGCTCCACCCCTTTCGGCTCGCTGAAAAGAATGTATTTTGCAGTGAACCAAAACTAGTTACCTACGGTTGCATAAAAGTCAAAAGTTCATAAAAACTAAAGAAAGAAAGCATAGTTACTAGAGCGAAAAGTTGATCTGCAGATAAAGATTTGAATTCCAAACCCTTTGACCTTATGTCCTAGACGGTGAGGTATAAGTAAGCAGTCTTAAACATTAAAAGCCACTTTCTATTATAAAAAAAAGCATTATACTTTTAAAGGCTTTTTGAATTACCTACACAAAATTTTTTTCTTCAATTCCCGCACAGTTGCCGTCAAGGTTTTTGACTTTGACAGTCCAAACAGTCTTCAAAATTACTGTTTTAGTGACAAAAATACTAGTTTTCAATAAATGAACCAGAATTTGTACATTAAGAACCTAAAAAACTCTGTTACGTAACCTTGTATAAAGATTCTGGTGTGGAAATGCCACTTTTGCTAAACAGCAGCACGTATTGCTGAAATGATCGACATAGTATGATTACCATATAAAAACTGTTCAGTTCACCTATGTTGCACTGCTCCCAGAAAAAAACGTAGATAAAGACCGTACGCGAGGCAGCTCCAACAGCTCCACACAAGTTATTTCGTCGTTACCATTCTTTTTTATCGTTACATGTTCAGGAGCGAACAATATTTCTACTAATACCTTTACCTGCTGTAGAAATTCTTTCCTGGGTTCTAGAAATTAAACAAAAAAGCACTGATAAGAGTTAAAAAATAGTAAAAAAAACGCTTTTTCTACGATAAAAAAGATCAAGCAACGGCTTTTCAGTGATCACTAATTCACAAAAGTTTTGTAAAGTAGAAAGATGAACAAACTGTTTACCAATAGCACAAGGGTATTTGGCTTTTGCAACTTTTATTTTAGGATGGTGTAAAAGCGTACAGGCAATGGTTTTGAAACAGCTTTCTACGGCCGTGCACATATCACGACGCTGTTTCCGGGCCTTCTGCAAAAGGAGTTGTATGTTCTCTTGCAACAAGAGAGATTGCTATGCATAGAAGCTTTTTTTGTAAGGTTTTTTGGAATTAGTCAGCATGTTTCACTAGCGTAGTGGATTTTTAGAATATTTCTACTGCGATGCAACGCCTTTTTAGATTTTCTTTCGACTGTTAGAAAACGCGCATTAACTTCGGAATTGCTCATTTTTTCATAGTAAACCGTGTCTCTTTGAAATCCGTAAAGGTGTTCTTCATCGTCAATCCAATCTCAAATTAAATATATAAGCTTCTGAAAGAAACAACCACATAAGAGAATATTCTTCTATTTGAAATGGTCCCTCAGCGTTTACAAAACCTTGAAAATACTTTTATTATTATGTTGACATCAGATACGAACTTAGTACGGTTTTGATTTTTTTTGGTTCTTGGCATACTTCCCATAATGTGAAAAGATGTCTACTACTTGAAATTAGTCAAAATGTGAGTAGCCTTTAGTATTTGACAACTAAACTTCATATTTGACTGATTTTTAAAATGAATGAAAATTCTTAAAACAAGCTTTAAACAATCTTGTGAAGCCGATGTTACAGAATGAAATCGCTGGAATAAATTTGTTTGATAGTGAATACTATAAATTTTTTTTTTTTAAAATAACTATTTTCCTTATAAGTGCAATATGTTGCGAAGTACCATAAAGCTTCCCCCTACGTGCAGTAAACTGCTACTTACCTGGACAGAAGATAGCAAATTTGTTAAAGCGAAGATGATGGCACAGTCGTCCCATGTTAACTCAGCGGCGAAAAATCCCTCGCTGTCCATGAGGAACAGTGCTACAGTTTCACCTCTTCTGTTCTTTACAAAAGATGACTCAGACCATATTCATATACCATTAGTCTCCCTATCACTTCCTGGAAAATTTATTTCTTTATAATTGCCGAGAGCCTAGTTTATAATCAAAAAGCTGAAACATTTAGATGAGCCGAAAAAGTATTGTTTGAGAACAACAAATACGACAAAGTATTTTCAAACCTCCTCTTGCACTAAATCCCAAAGAAGAGTCAGTAGGATTAAGCCAGTTGCCGCTTTGACGATTCTGCCCACTGGCGTGTAGGTATTGCAAAAAAAAGTTGAGCAAGTAACTTTTTCCAGTGCGTGAACGACCGCAATACTCAGTACCATTACCGTTAAACTGGCTTTGCGAAAAAAAAGTTATTTTTCGAAATTTTCACTGAAGAACGCATAATATTTGGTTAATCAATGTCTAACGACCCTGTGTTCTACGACGTCTGACTGATTGTGGATATTCTTGTAAAGCTACAGAAGAAAAAGAGTAAGTATTTTGAAAAAAATATAAAAGCGGAAGAAACATAATGTAAGTAAGTAGAAGTCTTTTAAAAGTCTTACCTTTTTGTCTTTAATTTCGTCAAAGGTAAGTTTTTCACTAGTTCCTGATTACAAAATTCCCATATTCAACTTTTAGACTTGTTTAAAACACACAAAGGTTTACAACTTTTCCGTGCAGAATTGCTCATTGCCGTCGTCTAATTGCTGCGAAATTTGACTGCAAAGAAAGCGAGCCCACCAATGCTGTTGACAAATCTCATAAACAAATTTACGCGGCGCTTACGCGAAGAATAATAACGTCAGTTTTTATTACGAAAAAGCATATGTGCGAGAATACGCAAAAATTGTTTACTAAAAAAATTCTTAACATTGTTACCTTAGCTTTATCGCTCTTTTTAAAGCTGTTCTAAAGCTTTAAATTTAAAAAAGTAAATTTTATTACCAAAACAATAATATCTTAAGCTATGCCAGATTTGCAAATCACTTTATCTAAATATCTAATTTTGATACGCAAAAAAATCTAAACTTATAAAGAGCTGTAAAAAGCTTGAAAAAAGGCAGTGTAGAAAAGCACCAAAAAAAAAAAACTGTAAAATTTTTTGGAAGTCTACTTTTCTAATGTTGTATGAATACAGATATTTTGGAGATATCAGAAAGCTTAAAAATGAGAATGATGACTGAACCTGATGCCAGTAATTTTTGGTAAGCATTTTAAAAAAATAAAATGCAGTTGATGCTGGACTGCACTAGTTGTCTGCCGCTACTGCATTTAGTACCTTGAATTTGCGTAAACAATCCATCTAAATATAAAAAATCTTGCGTCTAGTTTTTTGTTTCCAGTTTCTCTTCTATTATTCAAGGTCGGCTTAAAGCGCAAAGTGTAGAAAATGGTGAACAAAAAAACAAGGACTAACACACAGTCGCTTTACCAATTACAGGTCGCACTTCAATTTCTAACACTGAATTACTAGTGAAGAAAAAACCTTTACTGAAAACAGTAATTAAAAGAATTTGTTTTTTTCGACGTTTCATGCGTTAAACAGCAAGAAAGAATGGAGAACTCAAAGAAATCCGATGGAAGTATTTCCAACAAGACTGAAATTATTTGAAGTAGAACCCCCAAAGTTTGATGGCAATTTATTGAAATGGAACATTTCTTGAAACTACTTCATTTTGGCGATAAATAACAATA